GACCTATACAATTTTTTTCTTTTTTAAATCAATTTATATTTACTCATATTTATGTAATCAAGCGTTTTAATGATTTGGCCGATTAATCGAAAAAATAATCGACAGATTAATCGATTATTAAAATAATTGTTAGTTGTAGCCCTAAACTAAACTGTATCATTTTTAGGACTGACTTTTAGGAATAAAGGTCATTTTGAAGTTGATGGCAGCAACACATCTCGAGTCAGATGACTGGGTTTGAAAAGACTTTAAAAAAGACAGAATCGGTCAAAAGTAAAGACAGGCAGTAGCTCACCAGCCTGCGCAAAAATAAATAAATAAATAAATTATAAGGATTTTTCTGATGCTCCCTGTGCGATCTTTGGAGCATAAAGTGACTCTGAAACCAGATATAAATATTGTTTAAATCACAAAGAATGCAAGCATTTGTTTAAAAGCAGTGAAATGTGAGAAACACAGAAAGAGGACGCAGACAGCAGCGATCAAACAGAAACTTACGGTGGGATCTGAAGCAGGACTGTTCAGATACTGGATCAGGAGTGTGAACACCTCAACCAGCAGGACCTTTGCTCCTGGGAAAACACACAGACCATGTTTTTTGTATTTATTTACATTATTTTATATGTCTTGAGCTGTTATAGGAGCAGCAAGAAAAATCAGTCTTCTGTTTTGAAATACAGTGACTTTCTATAATAAAGACTGGACTCAGCTTATCGTTTACTCAGTTTAGTCGAATTTCTGTTTTACTCCAAGAATATAAACCAACTTGTTGAAACAGTTGTTTAAAATCACGTTTCGTTATGTTTAGGCAACGACTCGCTGCAGATCTCGTTTTACCTGAGCTGCTGCTGAGAGCTGCCAGAGCATCTAGAGCACATTTCTGGACTCTGCCGCTGCCGAGGACACTTCTGAAGACTTCAGAGCACACAGAAGGCGAGGAAGAGCAGTCCCCGCTGCACAGCCTCAACAAGCACAAAACTGCAGACACAATTTCACGCGGAGAACAGGGGAGGCAGTCAGGGGCCTGAGAGGGGAGAGAGAAAAATAAGAAATCCAGCCGAGGCGGCGCCACTGTCCTTAACTTCTCTGTGCGCTCTACCTGTGGGACGTGAGTCAGACTGATGCAAATCATGGAGACACAGGAGGTTTTCCTCTTCAGCTGCTCCGTCATTGAAAGCCGGAGCTGATCCGCTGAAGGAACAAACTGAATTAGCTGTCAAAAAATAAAAAAAATCGAGAACATTCTCGTTAAACGGGCAGATCTGTTGAGTGCCACCTGTGCTGTTTGTGCCCAGCAAGGCGCGGCCGGTGGCGATGTCCAGAGGCAGCAGCAGAACACCTGCGGACCGAGCAACGAGGTCGCTGCTGCTGGACAGACGAGCACACGAAGAAAACTCAGTGTTTGATTAAAAAAAAGGACAAGCGGTCGCATGTTCAGATGAATGTGAAGCAACAAACAGACCGATGAGAGAGACGTTCCCCCAGGCCGCTGCGGAGAAGAGCCGCTGCGGCGTGAACGAGATCGGCTGGTTCCCCCGTGTTCAACATGGAAGACAGGAGACGAGCGACGCGTTGGTCTGGGACGTGTTCACCACTTTCACAGCTGCTGAAACATGTAGTAAAATAAAGATGCATTTGATTCAGTTAATCTTACAGATACTGAGCTAAAGGTTGATGTGGTTTGAGCTGAAAATTATCCCCATCACATAACATATGTGTTGACAGATTGTGCAAGAGCTTTGTCTAAAACTTTAACATTTAGTATATTTTTCACTTATGCAAGTTGCCATTTGTTACTGATGTAAAGCATTTTGATGATGATGATGATGGGTTACAGTTGAACCTAAAACACACAAAGCCATAATGTCTATTCAATAAAGTCATATTTTAAATTGAAATGTGTTTTATTTGCAGATGATACCACATTTTTTTGTTTTGGTAAAGACATAAAACGTCTGATGGAAATGATATAAACAGAATTTGTTAAAAATACTAACTTGGTTTCAACTTAATAAATCATCATTAAATTTGGACAAAACTTATCATATGATATCAGTAATAAAAAGAAAACTATCAATGTTTCATTTGGAGTCGGGGGTGATGAAATCTGTAGAGTCAGTGARGTGAAGTTTTTGGGAGTCATCATTGATGATAAGCTGACATGGAAACCTCACAAATTATTTAAGAATAAAAATAGCCAAATCCATTGCAGTACTGTACAAAGTAAAGGAGTTACTTAATGATAAAGTACTGTTTATATTATAAAAAGCAATAATTGTTCCACACTTGATATATTGTATTGAAGTCTGGGGTAAAGCATGTAAAACAATTACAAATCCTATTTTTATTTCACAGAAAAGAGCCGTAAGAATTATCACCAGAAAACATTACAGTCAACCATCAAATATATTATTTTGTCAGTTGAAATTAATCAAGTTTTATGAGTTAGTTAATTATAATATTTTGTTSTTTATGTATAAGGCTCATAAAATAGCATTACCTTTGAACATCTAATCAAATTTTGTTAAGAAGGAAGTTATAATCTTAAGCGAYTGGAAATGTTTGTAAAACCCAAAATTCAAACAAATTTAAAGGACAGATGTACTTCGGTCCAGGGAATAAGATTATGGAATAAATTGGATACTGACTGTAAAAATGCTGGTTCAATTAATTAGTTTAAAAGAATAATAAAAATTAATTTGTTAAAGAAATATGAAACTGTATAGTTTGTATTTATAAGAGCTGCTGCTTAGGTGCTGAAGTTTTTGTCTTTTTTTACTTGAACATTGTTATTGTTTAAAATAATTATTATTGCTAAGTTTTTTTTAATAGGGGAAGATATAAGACTTTTCCTTCTTTCTGTTACCTTTCATTTAATTTAATTTGTATTTTTTATGTGAATTTGTTTTGTTTTTAAATTAAATGAATAAAAAAATAATTAATTTTATGTTCTGCACAATATATGGGTTGAAACGATGAAACACAATATTTATCAAACATTTAGTGTGTGGGTTAGCTCCTGAGCTAACGCCATTCATCCCATATAAATATGAATTAGCTTAGATGCTAACACGAAAGCTAAAAGGTTAAAATCAAAGTTCTCTTTCTATACAGCAGCTCTGTTGTCCTCCATCCACTTTTTCAGCTGAACACAGTCATTTCTACGTTCTCCTCTGTCAACGCTCACTTAAATTTAAAAGGGCTCCAGYGTCAGACATTGTCCAAAAAGAAAAAAAATTGTGTAGGTCTTCTGGACGGGTTCTTCTCTAATGAAACGTTTCGTCTCTCCTCCAAGAGACTTCTTCAGTCTGAGAGTTTCAGGCAAAATTCAGGCTTTTAAGCACTGCCTCCATGTGACGTCTGAGAAACTGAGACCTTTATTTTCTACACATGATGTCCCAGTGGCTTTCAAACCCCAAAACACATTACGGCAAAGGCTGGTTCACCCCAAAGATCCGGTGCCCTGGCACAAACAGAGCAATGTTGTATATGCTGTTAAGTGCCAGGAGRACTGCGACCAGTTATACATCGGGGAAACAAAGCAGCCACTGTTCAAAAGAATGTCCCAACACAGACGAGCTACATCTAATGGCCAGAACTCTGCAGTTTTCACTCATTTACAGGCCAGCGGTCACTCTTTCAGAGATGAGGATGTTCTCATTCTTGATAGAGAGGAACGTTGBTTTGAGAGAGGAGTAAAAGAAGCCATTTTTGTGAAGAAAGACCGTCCATCATTAAACAGAGGTGGAGGCCTCCGTTTTCAGTTGTCCCCCTCCTACAGCGCGGCTATTGCCATTATCACTCCACCCCCTGTTAACAATAGGTGTTAATTAGGTGTCAACGATAGCCATGTGATGTGAGTATCAGTCACATGGAGGCAGGGCTTAAAAGCCTGAATTTTGCCTGAAACTCTCAGACTGAAGAAGTCTCTTGGAGGAGAGACGAAACGTTTCATTAGAGAAGAACCCGTCCAGARGACCTATACAATTTTTTTCTTTTTGATTTTTTACCTGGATTACTGAGATGCATCAGGACATTGTCCAAAATTAACGTTCAAGCTGGATTGAAGGTTCATTTACCCAGAAAGCTTTGCAGCAGAAGTAACACACTGATGTCCATGTGACAATATATTTAATTTATAAAAACTAAAGAGCGAACAGTATTTGTACAGTCCTAGTTTATAGCTGAAGTAAACGTTTATTAAATAATGTCTAATGCTACAACTAATCGGGGATCCCTTTAAGGAGTTTTATCTAGATCTTTCTTGATTCACGTCTGGCGTTGTGTTGCATTTTACAGCTCACAACAATAACTGAACAGAGGGAATTTGTTCTTTTGATTTAAAGTTCACCTTGTTTGGCTCTGTAGCTGCAAACACTCTGCATTCAGTTTCATTTTATATGCTGAATATCAGTATGAGACGATGAACATGAGTGAGGTGTACCTGTGTGCAGCCAGAAGGACGTCCATCAGAGGCAGCGTGAGTCGACTGTAATTTGATGTCACCAGTTCCTCCAGAGGGTCGAAGACCGTCAGCAGCAGTTTGTCCCTCAGAGGAGGCCCGGCCCGGGTCAGGAGCAGGGCCAGCAGTTTGAGAACCTGCTGACTCTGATGAAGCTGGGACGCTGCTTTGGGAACCAGAGACTTCTTAAGGTACCTGCAGACCTCCACAACGATGACGCTGTCATTTTGGTCAGTTTCCAGGGGGAGAGTTCGATGTTTCCAGTCTGTTTCCTGGTCTGTGTTGTGACGTCCCTCAGGGGGCGAGACAGACTGACAGACAAGCAGAGCGTGAGCCAGCATTTGATTGGCGGCTGAAGCAACAAATAGACTTGAGTCCGTCTGAAGTTGGAGGAGAGGTTCAGTCAAATCTGGAACGTAAAAAAAAGACACAAATATGAAAGAAATGCGAGATAAAAATCAAAAACACCCCCAAAACATTTTCCTGCATGATGTTGCACCTGCTTGTACAAAGAAACTGAGAGCGTTTGGGTGCTGCAGCATTGTCCTCAAGCCCTGGATCCAACCGATCCTGATACACGGATCCTCCCAGAGTCCAGCTTCCTGCCAGTGATCAGAGTCAAAGACCAGGTCCAAGAGGGAGCGCTCCTGCAGCAGAAACAGTCAGGTGATGGATCACTGAAGATGACTTAAGAGTTTAATAAAAGACAGAAAAGAGCCCAAACCTGAAGAACTTTAAAGCCGTCCTCAGTGGCGGCCAATAGGCCGGTTAATTTCAGAGTGAAGGACAGGATGCTGGGGTCAGAGGTCGTGCTCTTGGAAACCACGGTGGATATGAATTCAAGCAGACAGGGGCAGACTTCCAGCAGAGACACGCCTTCATTAGGTGAAGAAATAATTCAAAAAATGTATTTTTTATTTTAGGTATCAATAAATTTACACATTTAGTGGAATTCTGAGGATTTCACTTTCACTTGTAATTTAAATGTATTTTAAATTATAAGCTACTCTGTCGATTAAACAGTGTTAATTGGATACAATATCAGTGAGCCTTACTCTACTTTGGCAAGTCATATTATCATTATAATAAACCAGAGCTTCGAGGCAGATATCAACAAAGCAGTTCTTGCTCATCAAAATGAACATTTCAGCTACTACGACTTTTTTTTTCTATCCACAAACAACATTTCAGACAACTCAAACATGATTCTTCCTATGATAAAATGTAGCTTTTTCACTTCATTTATCTCCAGATTTTCACAAGAACATTCCTAATGTTGTGAAAATCAAAAATATTATTTTCCCAATAGGAAACTCACACTTCTGATAACAATTCCATTAAAAAAAGTTTCAATTCGGATATGAAAAATGAAAATATATTCCAGATATATACTATGGGTATCTGTAACACTTTTCCAGTCAAACAAATAAATGGCTCCTCTAAGTCTGAGTCTGTAACTACTTTCAAAAGGTAAAGTGCKTCCTTTGGGTCAGGAGTTTAGATATCTGGAAGTGATAGTAGGATGGAGCAGGAGATGGATTGACAGACTGGGAACTTGTTTGCAGCAATGAGGGCGTTGCTTCGGTCTGTCGAGGTGAAGAGGGGCTTAGCCAAAGGGCAAAGCTCCYAATTTACTGGTCCCATCTACATACCAAACCCTCACCTGTGGCCCTGAAGCGTGGATCATGATTAAAAAGAGCTTCAGGGCTCAGAGTAGAGCTGCTTCTCCTTTAAAAGCAGTCAGCTGAGGTGATTCAGGCATCTGATTAGGATTCCTCCTGCTGGAGGTTTTTCAAGTATGGCCTAGGGAACACCTTAGGATCCAGCTGGGTCGTTCTTCATCACCATCCTCTACAACAGCGATTTCAACTTTGGTCCTCGAGAGCCACTATCCTGCCTGTTTTAAATGTTTATCTGCTTCAATACAAATGAGTTGAATAAATGAGTCATTAACAGGCTTCTGTGGGACATGAAGACCTGGCGAAGAGCAGGGAAAAAACTAAGTTGTGGAGGATAACTGCTCTAAAGACCAGGATCGAAAGTCAGTCTGACTTATCTGTGGTCAGGTTGAAGAGGCAACAGTTCCAGAAAAGATACCCAGAAATCCCTCCTGCCAGTGACACAATCCCTCCAGGGAGTTCTGGGTCTGCCTGGGGTTATCTTACCTCAGCATCGAATGGAGTTTTCTCTTTTACAAACTTTGTTGTTGATGTTGAAATATAATTTTTGCTATGAATGTAATTTTTCTTTCAGTCATTTATAGTAATGTTTTCATTTTTACTAAGATGAATGCTAATGTTGATATATTTATATTTTTAATGAGAAAACTGTGTTGTTTATTATGCAGCTTTTGCCTGATTTGATCCATGTGGCTTTTTTCTTTTGAATCAACTAGGTCAACAAATAGCTAAAGAGAGGGGGAAAACAAGGAAAAACACCGAGAAACAGATGGAGCACAGTATCTTATCCCAGCCCACCAGGTCTAATGTTACTAACCAGAATTGGTCAGAGCTGTGAACCAGTCGAGAAGTTTCTCCAGGCTTGTGTCATCCGGCAGCGAGCTTCCTGCGGCCGCCAGCACCTCACAGACCCGGGGCAGGACTGMCAGACACTCTCTGTCCATGGTACTGACGTGTCTCAATACAAACATTAATTTACACAGACAAGTAGATAAACATGAGCTACGCSGCTCATCGTAAAGTAGTAATGCTAGCTAAAAGGATAGTATCTGTACACGATTTAACTAATTTAACTCAGTTTGAGCGTCCAGTWTATCTCGCGGGAAACATTTCGCTTCCTCTTTTCTTCACTCAGCGTAGCAAAAACGTGCGATGGAGGCGGATACGTTGTTCATAGATCTCCAAACACGTTGATGAGCCGAATCAGTCTGAAAGAGCTGTGCGCATACGTTCCCTATGTTTTGAAGATCTATTTTTTTCCTCGCAGCCTGAACACGCTCCTCAGAGCAGCTTCCGGTGCAACGTTTCCGTCCTTTCGTCCATTTTCGCACATGGTGCCGCACCGGCCAAGCCTCGTTAGCTTTACATTTCTTGGGATTTCGTTCCCTTGTAGAGAAAATTCAGTCTTGTTCTCTCGTTAAATGCAAGATACGACGGCTATGGTGGACGACCCAGAGTATGAAGAGGAGGAGGAGGAAGAGCCATCCTTCAGCGACCCGGAGGATTACGACGATGACATCGACGACGAGGGTGAGCGGTAGCAGGAAAAACGCCGGCTTTCTGGCCTGCTAGCTAACTGTTAGCTTCGGGACAAACATTAGTGGTATTTTAGAATTCGTAGACATATATGCAAAATTGCTTTGTTTTTTACCTGCTGTAAATGGCCATATTTAAAGACAGCGCTTCGATACTTTAGCTTGACAAAGAAAACAACGTCGCAACCACTTTTCTGAAGGGTACCCCCACCCAAATGATATCAAAGTTCTGTTAAACGTCGGTTTCAGCCTCACCCAGACCCTAAAAGGCTCTTCACTCTGACCTCTTGTATTTCTATGATAACAGCGTATTAATAAAATTAGGCTATAAATGCGAAAATCCATTCAAGCAGTTTGAATGAACATGTAACATCTGGTAATATGAACTCAAATGGCAATCCTTAGAAAAAAAAATGTGCTGATTAGGATGTTTTGTGTGCATTTTTGCCCAGCTTTCAAAAACAGATAGTTTGATAGTGTAATCATTAAAATGACCAAATTCTTAGTGTTTACTGTTTGTTGACTAAAAGTTGAGATCTTTGAATAATAAAATGATCCAAATGTTTAATTTGTGGGATATAAATTTGTTTGAACTGCAGTGCATTTGCATTTTAAATTAAAAACAGGTGTTTTTCACTAAGCAGATATGATGAAAGCATTTCTAAGCTGACATAACTTTAACTAAGATATTTGTCATCAGGCTTAATCGCAGGAGTCTGAATTATTGCATAGACATAAAATAGTTTCATTAGAACTAGAAGTAAAAGGTGTTTTGGATTTGTAATTCACCATATAATTGGAGCAAAACTGTCAAATGGACCTGAGTTTTGTAAATATTTTACCTTATTTATCTAGTTTCAAATAAATAGTGATAGACAACATAATCACTAAAATTTACATGAGGATCTGTACCGATAGAAATGTTAGTTACTGGTTTTCTTGAATGATAGAAAATTGTTTTGTTAGGAAAAACAATTGTTTATTTAAATGATAAATCATGTGTTTTAATGCATAGAGACACAAAGATAGTCCAAAAAGCAGTAATGATCAGGAAAACGGCCAATGTTGTTGTTGTTGTTGTTGTTGTTGTTGTTATTATTATGATGTCTTTCTATCTTTTATAACACTTAACTTTGAACTTACAGAGCTTCTTGATGATGTCCTGCGGGAGAAGCCTCAGGAAGCTGATGGGATAGACTCTGTGGTCGTGGTGGACAACGTTCCTCAGGTGGGCCCGGAGCGTTTGGAAAAACTCAAAAAYGTCATACACAAGATCTTCTCCAAGTTTGGCAAAATCACAACTGAGTTTTATCCAGAGGCGGAGGGCACGACCAAAGGGTATGTGTGGCCCAACTGTCCCAGGGTGGCGTTCTGTGTTGCCATTCTACTGTTTTATACCTGAATTGAAGACATAACAAAGACTCATTCTTCATGTAGGTACATCTTTTTGGAGTATGCCGCTCCCACTCAGGCTCTTGAGGCGGTGAAGAACGCAGATGGATACAAACTTGACAAACAACATACGTTCCGAGTCAACCTCTTCACTGACTTTGATAAGTATGTCGGCAGAATTGGTAACGGTCATCAAACCTATCTGCAGATGTGGAGACGTTTGAGTTATTGATGTTTTTCTCAGGTACATGAACATCTGTGACGAGTGGGAAGCTCCAGAGAAACAGCCTTTCAAGGATTTTGTGAGTGCTACTCTTAACTTCAGTCATAACGTTTTGTTTGCTTGTAATACTTCCTGTCATTATGAAATCCATCAYGTCCAGATGTTAACACCTCTGTTGCTCTTGGCTCTCCGTTCAGGGTAATATGCGTCATTGGATTGAGGACCCAGACTGCCGTGACCAGTACAGTGTGATCTACGAAGCTGGAGAGAGGACGGCCATTTTCTCAAATGATGCTAAAGAGCCRATCTTGGCAGAAGAGCGAGCKGTAGGTTACAGACAATACAAGCAGTAAGTGAGGAAGTGTCAATACGATGGGCAGGAGACTTAATGCTTCTGTGTTCYTCTGCAGCGCTGGACAGAGACATACGTTCGCTGGTCTCCTAAAGGCACCTACCTGGCTACTTTCCATCAGCGAGGCATCGCATTGTGGGGCGGTGAGAAGTTCAAACAGATCCAGAGGTTCAGCCATCAGGGTGTGTCGCTCATCGACTTCTCACCATGTGAGAGGTAATTAACATGTCACCTCACTGCTGCAGAGTCATAAGTCATCGCCTGCTGCTAAAGGAGATGATATTTGTGCTGTATGTGTGTCTTATCTGTTGGTAGCCTTGGTAGARTATCTGATAATTCACTGGACAAATTATAATGATGTTTCAGAATACAATCAATGATAAAAATGATTAACATTTGGGCTCAGTCTTAATCAAACTTAGCAAACACAAAAAATGGTATAAATAAAGCAATTTTACASATATTGAGATAAATTTTGATCTGGTAGTAGCTGAGAGTTGTGTATTGTGAATTCAAGATGTCAAGAAATGGAATGAATTAGTTTGAAGTTCTGCTTTGGGGTTGAAACTGCTGTCGGTCCTCACAGGTACGTGGTGACCTTCAGTCCACTGATGGACACCAAGGAGGATCCACAAGCCATCATCATCTGGGACATCCTGACTGGACAGAAGAAGAGAGGCTTCCACTGCGAGAGCTCTGCACACTGGCCCATATTTAAGTCAGAACACKGCTTTTGTTTTTGTTCTTGTTAATAATCCTAAATTCAAATTGGCAATGTAMTCGATGTGTGGTTTTGTTGTAATTGTTTGGATTTACTCTCAGGTGGAGCCATGATGGAAAGTTCTTTGCTAGGATGACCCCAGACACTCTAAGCATTTATGAAACTCCAGTAAGTAGGCCTAATAAATTCATATAATATAAATAAGATGTGTGAAAATGACCCTAAAGACACATTTCTGCTGTTTTTAGTCAATGGGCCTGTTGGACAAGAAGAGTCTCAAGATTACTGGCATCAAGTAAGAGTCTTATGATTTGTCGATGCCACACGCTTTGACAGAATTGTATTTTGTTGTAATACATTGATAGGAGTCTTGCAGGGTTCCTGCAGATCCTTAAAAATCTTAAAAGGCCTTGAATTCATCAGTCCAAAAATAAGGCCTTAATCAGCCTTAAAAGATCTTAAATCAATCTTTCAGAAGCCTTAAAAATGTTAACACATTCTAAGTAGGATGATTGTAATCACCTCAAATATTAAAACAATTGGTAAAAAAATGTTTAAATATTCACATTCAGAAATTCCCCTTTGAAATCACTTCCTGTTATTTCACATGCAAATATCTCATTTGTTCATCTGAGAAATGTGAAATTTGTTTTGTAAAATATTATTGCTGTCTTTCCATAAATGCATTCACTTTTCTTACAAAAAAATTTGATGTCACAGTCACTTTAAGGCTTCATTTACAGCAAATTGGGGTTAGACCCCACTGTGGGTCCTAAAACTCCAAATTTTGGGTTGTTAGAGGATTTCCTGAAATTAAATAGTTAAAAACTGACTGCTAAGAACGTTTCTGCTATAGTTGATTAAAAAAACAGTTAGATATGGATAAAAACAATTGGTGATTTAGMAATTTTTGAATACTTCAACCAAAAATACTTTGATTCGTGAGTTTCTGCCAGTTTTTATTTTTTTGTCATTTGTGTTTATTATGAAATTGGTCTTAAATTTAATTTCACTTGGTATTAAAAAGTCTTAAATTTAACTTRCTTTAAACTGTAGGAACCCTGTCTTGAGTATTTATGAGGCTTGTCTTACAGGGACTTCTCATGGTCTCCTGGTGACAACATCATAGCATTCTGGGTCCCTGAGGACAAGGACATCCCAGCAAGAGTCACGCTGATGCAGATGCCTTCCCGCCAGGAGATCCGTGTTCGAAATCTCTTCAACGTGGTCGACTGCAAACTGCACTGGCAGAGAAATGGAGACTATCTGTGTGTGAAAGTGGACAGGACTCCAAAAGGAACTCAGGTACTCAGAGAARCAAAGCATTGTATTTTTGCACCTTAATAGTATGAGTAAAACAAAAATGGTGCTAATTTTTATTTATTCATTTTTATTCTCAGGGTGTTGTTACCAACTTTGAAATCTTCCGGATGAGAGAGAAGCAGGTTCCTGTTGACGTGATGGAGATGAAAGGTGAGATGGTGTTTCCGTACACCTTCTTTTGGATGTTCTGTCCTACAGAAATAATTCATTTTATTTTATTTTCTTAGAAAGCATCATTGCTTTTGCCTGGGAGCCTAACGGCAGCAAGTTTGCCGTTCTCCACGGAGAGTCWCCGAGAATCAACGCCTCCTTCTATCACGTCAGAAACAACGGCAAGATCGAGCTCATAAGTAAGTAGATCAGTTAAATATGATGAGTAATATGGTCTTGAAAACATGTCCCAAAACTTTGTTAAATGTTTGATTTTTGTGTTTTTGCAGAGATGTTTGACAAGCAGCAAGCCAACAGCATCTTCTGGAGCCCCCAGGGACAGTTTATGGTTCTGGCTGGACTCAGGAGGTTAGATTTCTGAAAGTTAAAAGTTTGTGAGAGGAAAACAATAGGTTATTGATGATTAAACAAAACAGGGTTCCCACGGGTCCTTGAAATCCTTGAAAGTTTGGTTTCAAGGCCCTGGAAAGTTTGTGAAAACAGCCAAACATTACAGTTGTCTTTGAAAGTCCTTGAATGTTTTTTGTGGATTTAAGATCTCTATTCACACGACTGATTTTCATCATCTGTAAAAAAATAAATAGTAATAATAAATAAATAAATAAAAAAACTTACATTTGTTGAGGTGGATAACTCAGGATTACGGTAAACTGACGTGGCTTTCAACAAATAGCGTGACCCATAATCATAGTTTTATCCAATCAGAGCAGAGCAGGGCGGGTCGTTCTTTCTGAGCCCAGGTGAGAGCATCACAGCTCCTCCTGTCCTCACTGAGGGTCTGGACACATTCACATCCCCTCCTCCCAAACTGAGCTGCTGAACCTCCCAGGACGTAATTACATGTCCATGTATTGTAGATATGAATGAAGGCTGTACATTTAGTCCACTTTATTTCATTGATTCTGACTCAACGACTTCTATGTTGTTCAGTTTTTCATTGAATTTACATGACATTAAACCTGTTTATTGGTAACATTTTGAGGTAGCAGTAGGTAATTGCCGTTGTGCGTGGTTCTTTAATTTGAAGAAATTGGTACTGGAAATTCCTTGAAAAGTCCTTGAATTTGATGTTGATCAAGGTGTGGGAACCCTGACAAACTTTTGACACCTCATATGAGAGCYAAGCTCATGATTCTGAAGCTGTTCAGAGGCTGTGATGAACACCTCCTCAGCTGCTTTGTGTTTGTGTGTTCAGTATGAATGGAGCTCTTGCCTTTGTGGACACCTCCGACTGCATCATGATGAACATAGCAGAGCACTACATGGCTTCTGAYGTCGAATGGGACCCAACCGGTCGATACGTCGTCACCTCTGTCTCCTGGTGGAGCCACAAGGTTGGCATCGTCTGCACGTTCGGCACTGAACCTTTGCTTTAATAGCTCCTTAACAGGGGGRTGCAAATTCACACGTAAACCCGTCCCATCCTCTGGACATTTCTGTGCTCAGGTGGACAATGCGTACTGGCTGTGGACATTCCAGGGCCGTCTCCTTCAGAAGAACAACAAAGACCGCTTCTGTCAGCTGCTCTGGAGACCCAGACCTCCCAGTCTGCTCAGTGGAGATCAGATTAAGGTACCRTTTGTGACACCTGATGTGAAAGCTGCACCTCATCTCCTGATTCTAACTGAATTGAGACTCATGAATGCAGCAGTCTTTTTTTTAAAAATTATTATAGCCGTTCATCTCATTAGTGGCATTTTAGCTGCCTTCTTGCCTTTTAAATAGACTGTGATCTCTTTCAGATGATTAAAAAGGATCTTAAGAAATATTCAAAGATCTTTGAGCAGAAGGATCGTCTGAGTCAGTCCAAGGCTTCAAAGGTTTGACCCGTTTTTCTTCAGATCTCCCTTCCTTGAATAATTTGCTCCTCATGAACCAGTTTAACCCACAGACCATAGTGAATCATTGATGTCAAATACTCCCTTTGTGTGTGTGTGTGTGAGTGTAGGATCTGGTGGACAAGCGCAGGGCCATGATGGAGGAGTACCGTCGCTACAGAGAGGCAGCGCAGCAGATGTATCTCGAACAGAAGGACATGCGCCTTGAGCTTAGAGGAGGTGCGACCTCTTTTTTTTTTTCTTTTCTTTCTCTGGCCTCTGAGCCCCACTTTAAGATGTTTTGTTTGGGTCTTTAGGAGTGGACACGGATGAGCTCGACAGCAATGTAGACGACTGGGAGGAGGAGACCATTGAGTTTTTTATCAACGAAGAAATCATTCCCCTCGGAGATCTGTAGTCCACTACGCAGGTACTTACAGTATAAACACTGTCATTGTAATAACCCAGCTATATTCTGAGAGAATTGCAGAACACTTTACAACAATGTTTGAGGAAGCATATATTCCTTAAAAAACACATTTCACAGGATTTTGAGTCTTTTCTTTTTTTTTTCTTTTTCAGTCCATCTGTTGTTGTGTGGAAGACAAAAGGAACAGCGTCACTGACTGGAGAAGGACCACGGCCTCACTGTGAAACTTGGGTTCACCTCGAGCCCTGGTTTTAGTGGAATCATCAAAGCACGCCTTGTGGATCAGCATCCACATCGAGAGAAGAGAGAAGATATTTATATTGCATTTTCTTCTCTGCCTCACAACCGCCTAACCCGTTTTCTTCTCTGTGGAACTTGATATTTAGTAAATACTGCCTCATTTTTTCTAACCATTGATTGAAGTCACTCCCGTCTTATTGGACCTTCTTCCTCCTGGAGGGGTTTGATTCTGAACTGGCCTCATCATGCTGATGTGTTACTGCGGTGCAGCAAAGAGTGCCATATCAATGCAGGGTGAAGGTGTTGAAACTAAACAAGTAGCCTTGTCAATAAATGTGCTGATGTGGCATCATAGTGGCCTGTATCCTCCTCCTTTCAGACTAGGCTTTCACACAGGGAGGGGGTGTGCAGTGGGAATAACTTTAAATAAATATTCAAACATAAGAACCACTTGACTGACTCTGCGTATGTCATTTACAGGGAATGTTGTGCTTTAGTGGCGTTTCACACTAGTGGCACGTCACTGTTTAAGCCTCGGGAGACTTGGTAACGTTTTGCTTTTTGTAGCCTTTTTTTACAACATAATTTCATCTGCATACATCAAAAATAGATTGATAAACTGAACGAATAGATAAGACATTTAGTAATTTTTTTACATTTATTTACAGTAAATAAACGGTATAAAAATAAACAGTTTCAAGCAATGTACAAAAATTCTGCACACAGCAAATGTAGCCGAATAGTTTTTTTAGAATACAAAAATAAAAAGTTGTGATTGAAGTTTAAAACTGGACTTTAGAAGTTCGAAAGTTRTACTACTTATTTTCTTATTGCTTATTTTGTGGTGTTGCATTCTTTTGGCAGTGGGTTTCTGCTGTGTCAAAGTTAAACACTGCTTTTAAAGAAATATTCTTTGAAGAATCTTAATATCAGTAAAAGGACATTCAAAATAAATGTATACACAAGACAAAATCTTGGTTTTTAGCAGAAAAACTAAATGTGCTAACAGATCACGCGAGATTTCGGTAAGTGGAGGAGAGCGATCCTACATTAGCCCCGCCCCCGCTCTCTCTTCATCACCGGGGCAGACTGAGATGGGAGGACACTGACCGAGCAGCAGAGCTGAGCGAGCGGAGCCGTGCATGTCCAACTCTGGGTAAGATTAAAACCCGTTCGGTTCAGGTCGTAATACCAACAAAAGAAAGACAGACTGATGTTCAGATGGACCTGTTGTCCTCGAGATGCTCCCGGTGTAGAAAAGGGGGAGGGGCTTATCAGTAACCGAATGTCGGCATTATGAATTTTCATGGGTAATAATTTCCACTCTTTTCTGTTTTTTTTGCGTGTTGAGGACACGAACTTGAAGTGTCTCTCCAACATCCGAGCTGTCTGCGAAAGAGCACGCTGGAATCTGTTTCCTATCTCAAAAACACGCAGGCTAATCTTTCCAGAGTTTAAAAAATATATTATTTTGTGCGCRTATGTGCGCACGTGAATGTGTGTGTGTGTGTATGACGCGTGGCAGAGGAAAAAAAAAGGCTTCGTGGATGTTAATTTTCGTCAGACACACTCCTTCTCTGCCAGGAGTGTGGTTTCTGCACAGGACAGAGAAAGTAGTAATTTTCTGTCAGTTTATATGACTTGAGGTTAACTTGAGGTTACACAGATGCTCGCGCGATTTTGTTGTGCGCGCGTACACGCGTCATTACGGTATTATTGCTTAGGATGCTTTTAATAAAAAAAAAATCCTGACTTCTGAATCTTGTTAGGTCTCTCTCTCTCTCTCTCTCTCTCTCTCTCTCTCTCTCTCTCTCTCTCTCTCNCTGGGTCTCTCTCTCTCTCTCTCTCAAGGGCAGGGTCTCTCACTCTCTCTCTCTCTCTCTCTCTCTCTCTCTCTCTCTCTCTCTCTCTCTCTCTCTCAGGCTGGAATTTTATCACTTTTTTATTATTTGGCTGTGATATTTGACACAGTTTTCTGCGGTGTGGTCTGAGCATGCAGGATTCCCACAGTCACTGTGGGAAATGTTTTCAGCACTCAAATCATAATTGTGAAAATTAAAATAAAACAATCGGTTCCTACCTGGATAAACCTGTCACTGTCATCAAGGTGAAATAGGCYTTTTACCAAGACTGCAGCTTTAATACAGTCATTGTTAGATAAGACCAGCTGAAGAAAACTTTCAAAGTATATCGTAATTAAGCAATCCCATATTTAAATGAGCTTATATTTTGAATATATCCTGAATTAAATGTATATTTTCAGAAATACTATTCTTTTATTCTCGTCTTTATTTAGAATTAGCAATGTTTGTCTGTCAGCAACTATAGTGTTAGGAAATCCCTTCATGTAATGCCGATAACGTGAAGCTGTGAGAGTCTCCTTTTTAAATATAYGGCTGTAACTCCTGATGACATCAATAAAAAGGTGCTTTCAAACACTCTTGTAAACAAAACAAGGCCAGGCTAAAAATCACCACATTTGAACAAAGTGCACGTTATTTTGAAGCTTCCGAGATGGATAAAGTGAAAATAAAACTTCCTCAATATTCAAAAAAATTCCACACTTTGACTCGTTTTAAATCCACAATGAGCACACACACTGCAGATGTGTGAGCTGAAGGTTATGTTAATGAAAACAAAAAACACATTAGAAAATGTGCCTGAGCACACAAAGATGCTTTAATTGACCTGACCCTATGGGATTTTCAAACTTGTCCCTTTTTATGTTTATGTAAAATACAGACATGATAATATGAATTACTCAGTATGCCACCAGGCGTCTCATTTTGCATTTACTTTTTATATTCATTGAGTTGTTTTACAGTCTGAAGACAAAAAAAATCCACAGGAGTCACTGAAAATAGAACTGCTTAGAGTAAATCTGGCTTTAAGTTCACTGCACTTTTTGTTTCTTCTTTCTTCATTTCCCCTTTCTTTTTGATTGCAGCTACCCAGCAGGAAGTGTCGGCTTCCGTCTTAGGACGACCACCATGGAGCRGAGATAACCACTTCCTCTTTCTCTCCACCAATCACAGCCTCTGATGCGTAATAACCATGGGAGCGTGGCGAGGCCTGCGGGTGGCTTTCATCCTTGGCTCTTTGTTTGTCATCCTGCTGATCATTGTCTACTGGGACGACGTCGGAGGCTTCAACCTCTATTCCTTCCGGGAGCTGAAACACGAGTCTGTTCAGTCCGGTTGCTGCACCGGGATCACTACRGGCTCTGTTCTGTCTGTGTCCACCGATCGAACGCAGACCAGAACCCCCGTCGCTGTGTACAACGCCGCCTCTGCAGCTACGCTTTTCTCAAAAGGAGCAGCTCAGGAAGTCACAGATGTGGAGCAAAAAGAGATGGAGTCGGAGGAGGCGAGGACTGCTGATGGTGGTGAACAGAAGGCGCGGCAGCAGAGGGTCCTGGATGTGTGTCTAGGAAAGGACGATGTGGATTTTCCTGGAAGGACTCGAGCGTTTGAACAGATTCCTATCAGGGAACTGGACCACCTGATTGTGGATGATACACATCAGATTATTTACTGCTACGTCCCCAAGGTACGGCAGCTCTGTGGGGGAACTTGAGTCATCTTTTTGTGTGTTCCTACTACTACTGTACAACTGCTTAACAATAGGCTGGACTGTGCAAAAGTCTTCAGTTATTCCTTACTTCATTATACGCATTTAGCTTCTAGTGAAAGGATGGTGATGGTGGAATCTCTAAAATATCTTGTGACTTTCATCAGGTTCTCATCTTCCTCGCTTGGAAGTTCTTGAGTTTTCAACATGTTCATGAATATATTTGACAACTCTTCTCTCAAAATAGTCACAATTATTCTCACAAAATACTAGACATATTTATAAAAGCTCTCATGTGACAAAAAACGTCTTGGGCAAAGCTCCAACTCAAAAAAGCATGTCAATGAAAGCACATCTAACACAATCATGTTAGATGTGCATATGATATTGATCTACATATGTTAACAATATGTATCAATATATATATATATTTTGCCTTGATGTAATTAAATCATTAATCATTTAACTGATTTATTTATGTGGATCAATATTTTGTTACGCCCCTAGTTGATGATAATTAGTGATGTTTGAAAAATGAAAACCTACCAGCATTAATTATAAAGGTGTAATCCAGCAGATTAAAGCAGAAGTATGGGGATGGCTAACAATGCGAGTTCAAGATGAGATGAGGAGGGTATATGGGCGACAAAAGATTTTGCATGAGCAAGAATGCATGTATTTGCCAGAAAACTTAGATTTAATGTAGATTATAACGACTATTTGCTTTTTTAGCTGCTGGGTTTGATTTCTTTTTGAAGGAAATTAACAGTACAGCAAAAAATCTGTGTATTATAGTATTATTTTTTATTTTTTTTATTTTAGCCCAAAACTCATTTAGTTACTTACAACCATCCACATTTTTAGTTCCTCTTATATTTTTGAATTATTGATCTATTTTTTTTGTTTCCACTATCTCCCATGGCTGCCATCTGTTCAGGTAGCGTGCACCAACTGGAAGAGAGTCATGGTGGTCCTGTCTCAGTCTCTGATCTCCCCCTCCACTGGAAAACCTTACACGGACCCGGAGGCTGTGCCTGCTGACCTCGTACAYAACTCCTCTCTACACCTCACCTTTGCCAAGTAGGAATTACAAGACGTACTGTATGTTTTTTTTAATGGTTTCCAGTAAATAAATGTACAGTATATAAAAGTCTCAGCCAACAAGCCARACACTGAGACATATTCTAATGTTTACCGAGCCACATAAACGCACTTAAAGTTTAGTTACAAATCCAAGATCACATCTTGGGAATTAAGCAAAAAAACCTCAAAGAGACTCATTTTACTGCTAAACACCTGGTTTGAGACAGTTAACCTCTTGAGCTCCATAAACCAGAATTTCCCATTTTTATATCTTTTAACTTCTGTTAACTAAAGATCTGTAAGTCGAACCTTGACATGTTTGGTATAAAAAAAAAAAGCTAAGAATCTTGGATAAAAGTTCTTGGAAACAATATTTACATCAACCAAACACAGTTCAAATGACAGCAATTGAATCAGAAAGTAAACAACTGTACAAAATGGTGTCTTTGCAGATCTGTAAATACAATCAAGCAAATCTTTAAAGGAAAAAAACTGACATTATTTTTTAAAATAAGTCAAAGAAGATGCCTAAATATGCTGTAAAGTGTGTTAAAAGTTTTTTTTCACTTGATTTTGAGTGAATATGGTCCAGCTGAAGTCAAATATAATTTCTCATTATTTTATGCAATGTATATGGTGACAAATAAATGTTTGGATGATTTTTCAAAAGAACAAACATTCAATAACAAGTCTTTTCAGGCAGGTAAGAAAAAATAAATAACTTTTGCAATTAAAAACTAAACATTTATTAATGGTACCATCATGGTCTGYCCTGTGCAGAATGACAAAATGCTAAATTATTTCTTTACTAAAACCTCTGTAACTTTGCTCCAGTTAATTTTAGCWGCATGAATCTTTGCACAGGTGATGTTCACAAGTGGATTTATGGTTTCCAAGAGTTTTYAGCCTCAATCATTATGGTTTTATATGGGTTATATACTGTCAAATGCAAAACATTATTCAGACGAGAGGGAAAAATAATAATAATTATAATGTTCCATCCTTAATATCTCTAAAACCACAGCAGTTGTTTTAATACCTTACACTTTTAATAAAATCTCCCAAGTGTTAGCTTTATTTTGATACCAAGATTATTTAAGTAGAGTATGTAAATGCTGAGATACACTCAATTACATTTCAGTATGGTATTTCGAGCGAAAACATCAAGAAAACCCCTTGGGGCTCAAGAGGTTTTAAGGAACATAAAAGCTACATAAAAAAATAAAGATTCTTTGTTTTTATGTCACCTACAGGGGCTTTATATATATCCAGGGTTTAATAATGCAGTTCTATTTTTAAATCAAGCAGCCTTTGTTTGTGTCTCCTGATTATAGTCTGTTGTATTTTGTAACTTATCAATTTGAAGAGTAAAATAGATATTCTGTACCGTTTGTTGCATTTATTTGTAAGAACTTCAATATATTCTCAGATAGAACAGYCGGCGTCTCCATCGCAGTTCCAAGGCGTGGAATTTTACTACAGCCAGCTGACAAACTATCAGCGAGTCAAAAAGACACGTTTGAGTCGAGACTTGGAAGAGAGGGTGGAAAGGACAGGCGGTGCTCGGTGCTGCAGCACAGATGGTCCTTTCTCTTCCCCTCGGGGGCTGAACGCCTTCTTTCAGTCTGCAGCGTTACCCACCATGCATCTTTTTAGCCCCTTTCAGAAATGTTGCGATTTTTGTTGTTTTCCAGTAATCYCCTGTCATCGCAGAGTGTTTAAAATGTCTTGAACAGTTGGACGGACACTGAGGTGGCAAACTACAAAAAGAACTGCAACAATCGCATTGTTTTGTGGTTCCTTTTTYGTTTTCGTCAGGTTCTGGCGACACTACGGTTCACTGTCCCGCCACCTGATGGCGCTCAAGCTCCAGCACTACACCAAGTTTCTGTTTGTCCGAGATCCATTTGTGCGCCTCATCTCTGCCTTCAGGAACAAGTTTGGAAGGTGAGTGTTCAGCGAGCATAAACACGTGTTTTAGGGAAAAAAAATCCAGCTTCACGTGGGATTTTTAAAATGAATCGTCTCATTTTTAAAGATGCGGCAAATAATACAATTTTTTTTTGTTGTAGCTGATGATGTTCCCTTGCGGGGAAATCAAAACTGAAAAGTTTGGCATTTCTTRTTTAAGCTGCAGGAGATGTTGTTTTTATGCATTTGATCACCTCRTGTGTGGTTGTGTGTTAAGGCCCAACGAGGACTTCTACAGGCACTTCGGTTCGGTTATGTTGCGCCGTTACGGCAACGCGTCCGAGGGTTTGGCAGAGACGGCTGCTGAGGCGTTCGCAGCAGGAATCAAACCCACATTTCATCAGTTTGTCTCGTACCTCCTCGATCCTGAGACTGAGAGGAAAAGCATCTTTAATGAACACTGGCGGCAGGTAAATGTGTACATGCACAGCCTTCAAGTTTTATCTTGCATTTTTGTTGGATTGTTTTAGGTTATAAGCCAGTGTTGGTTCATTTTGAAGTTTACATCAAGTGTTTTGTATGGGGTTTTTTTTTTGTGATTATGACTTTCAGAACTTCCCATTTAACTTAAGTTTATAGCCAGTAAGTAACTAAATGTTAACCGGGGCTTTGAAAGGCAAAAAAAGTGTTGGAATAAGAGTTTTGTTGAACAGATTGTGAGATTTATGGTAAAAATGGTAAATGGCTTGAACTTATATAGCACCTTATCAAGTCCTTTTTCCTTTGCACTGATAAATATTTTTGTGTGTTAAATCATCAATCATTAATTGCTTCTCTGTGTTGCAGGTGTATCGTCTGTGCCATCCATGTCAGGTAAAATACGACTTCATTGGTCGACTGGAAACTCTGGAAACTGACTCGGAGCGCCTGCTGAAGCTGCTGAATGTGGATCACCTTCTACGATTCCCTTTAGGAGCCAGAAACCGAACAGAAGCCAGCTGGGAAAGGGACTGGTTTTCCCAGATACCTGTTACTAAAAGGAGAGAACTGTAYAAGTTGTACGAAGCAGACTTTGAGCTGTTTGGATACCCCAAGCCTGACTACATGTTTCACCAGTAGACCAAAGGCTTGGGGACCACCCTACGGACTGATGCACAGCCCGGTTCTGCTTCTTAACACCAGTCTGTGATGCTATTGGACTCATTTCTTAGCACACCTCAAATGACAAAGTGCCTGTCAGTGTGTCATTTTTATAATGTCCGGTATCCATCATGTGCCTGTTTATAGTTCTCAGCTGTTTCACTCCATGTTAAAAAAAACATGATTAGATTTTATTAAAATGATATCCTGTGATGCAGGAATCTATTGTAATTATTTATTTTAAAATTTATTCATTATTTTATCAATTAGGTCTCAAAGAAAATWTATTTTTCCACAGTCGAGAAGGCAAGAAAATACAAATCAAGAATAATTAAATGAAAGTCACTGACAGTAGAAACAATTCAAACAGAAAAAAAAACAATATTAGGAATAAAACAATACTAGGTAAGACCAATAGTTTTAAACATCAATTCGGACGAAGAAAAGTACAAGTTTAATTAGGTTCAGTAATAAATAATAAACATCAAATTTAAATGTAAAATAAAAACACTTCATTAGCAGAAGTTTCTTAATGTTATTTCTTAGTAAAACATTTCATCACAATTCAGCTAATCAACTACAATAAACCATGAAAATGTGAACATACAGCTATAAACAATTGACTTTAGAATAAGAGAAGAATAAAGAAAAAGATGGATAAAAAAGAAGAATCTCATTAAGTCAGATACCTGACATCTTTCATTTTTCAACAAGAATAATTCCCAATTATTGTTCTACATTTAGCTTTTCACTAGTGTTTTCTACCGTTGGATAGTGTTCAGTTACTTTTAGCTCAGTTTCAGCACCTTCAGCAGATTTTTAGTAGGTGTTCAGCTCTCATCATCAGTCTGTATTCAAACAGAAAATGTAATTTCTCTAGTTTAAATTTGCTGTCACTTTAAACAAAGAATTGTCCAGTTTAACAGAAAAAAAACTTCCTAATAGCTTTATGTTTGTGTTCAACATTTTTCCCAGATTAAAAAAAAAAATCTTCAGCTTTGATTTGACTAAAAAAATCACTGTTCCACCTGTTTTATCATCTTCAAACAGATTTAAAGAAACTTTAAAACAAGGACAAAGTGACTTCTTTATCAACTTATTAAGGAATATTTTTTATCAGTTTTAAATACAGAGCAATTAAATTTTAAGTATAAAAAGCAAGAACTCATACCAGATCCAAACAAGAGCCTTATCTGGTTCCCTTGAGTTTGACACAAGTGACAAAGGATTTTTTTTGTAGAGTGGTGGAAATGAGGTTTCATACTGGTTTGTGTATGAATCTTTGAAAGTGTTAAAAAAATGAATACAATTCATCCATCCACGTTTTTCTATGGCACAATGAGACTTTCTGATTGTTCATTCTTGTCCTGTTGTCTCTTTCCACGTGTTCCAGCTGTTTCTTCAGTACCGCCCTTTTTGTTTGTTTCAACACATATCATTGGTCGGCGTTTCCGTCAATCAAGAAATACGCCCACCTTGCTGCTTTGTTTGGCTTTGACAGCTCTYCGCTGACGTCACCGGTTCCGTCTCAACACGGAAACGCTGAGAAAAGACATGAGAGTTTGAGAGGAATTTAAAGCGGCATTCTTAATTTTTTTTTTCTCACCGTTACTGAGCGCACAACTTTATTTATTTTTATTTTTTACCATGTCAAACCTCGGGTGTTAGCTATGCTACGGACGGAAGCAGACGCGGGTAACGAGGAGAGAGTTCGGCCTCTGTGTTGTTGTTAGTTCTGGAGCTTAAGTCCTCTGTGTCGGAACATGAGACCGAGTGGTTTAGGGGTCACGGGGGCTCTGGGACGAATGCTACTGTCTCTTCTCCTGCTGTCTTCGGAAGGCCAAATACTTCAGGTAMACTTCGTATCAGTTGTGTAACATTTTCTGTAGTTGTTGTCAATTGAGTTTATGTTTTGCTATTTTTGCGCACTTGGTATCTCTGCGTCTATTTCAGGCCCCAGGTGGCAAAGTCGCCAGTTGTTTTTAAAGGTTTATTTAGCTAATTTGTTTAATCTAAAGAAGCTTAAAAAAGTAATGTTTTTTTAGCCTTTACGTTTGTTCGCGCGCACGTTTTGTTTTTGTTTGCCTGAAAGTATGGCAAGCCTTTTTAACATATATTTAAACAACACTACAATCCCTTTTTTACACCACACTATTTTTTTTCTATTCCAGAAAACATAAAAAAATGTAACTTTAATATGAATAAAAATCTTATTGGTTAGTAGAACTTNTATATATATAATAAAGATATGCTCCATAAGGAAGGTAAACAAAGAGGATAAGACAGATGCTAAGAGCTATCAGTGTTAATTCAGCTATAATAGTCAACTTTAGTGCACTTTTCGGTCCAGACCAGAATCAAAAGTCATACTTTAGAACCCTTGCAAAACAAACACAAAAGTTGTACAAAAATAAATAAAAATACAAATAAATTAATAAACAAACATAAAAAACAAATAAAATAAACATTAATTTAGATTTTTYGTTAGGAAATAAATACTTTGTGTGGGCCAGTGATCGTAACTGAGTAATCCAAGGGAAAAAAATCAAGCAAATGTGTGCAATTTTGGACATATTTTAAGATAAACAGGTGATGATGATAAGATAGCAAACTGTTTTCTGTTCTTAAAATAAGAAACATGTTTCTAAAGTCATTGTGTTAGATTTAAAGAATACCTCATTAACTACTTTGTGTCAATACTCTGTATCAGCAAATAGCCAAACTGAAGTACTTTATACTTAAATGCCCTTAATTGCAACAAATCTGAAAACAAACGTAGATATTTGAAAACTTTCTTACTGGAAGACGCTTGCATTCAGAGAACTAAAATTCATTTGCAGAAATCAAGAATGTGTTTAAAAGAACACCACTCTGAATATCTGAGTTGTACACTTTAATTAGGAAGAACTGAACAATGGATTTGTGCTTGGAGGATGCCGTTCAGTGATTATATGATAAATGGGCTTACCATATATTCCTCAGTGAGTAAATATGGGAGCATCAGATTTTCAGGATCATCAAATTTGAGTTTTTCTCATCTTAAGTTTAAGATTAGAGGTAAATCTTTAGCTAAATCAGTTAATGTTTTAAATCCTTGTCTGAGAAATTAAACATTTGTGAACCTCTGCAGTAAATGTCACAAACCTACATCAGTCCTTTTCATAGGTGTGGTTAAAGGAGGATATCCTGCTGAATGAGGAACAGTTTACATTCTTTTTATCGCAGGCCTGGACGACCAAGTCCTGACACACCTGTTTGCACAAACACACACTCACTTAACTGAAGATGGGCTGAAATGTTGAGATATGACGACATCTAATTGTTTGTCTCTGTTTTGCCTTTTATTTTTATTTTTAGGTTGGGGGTGTGAAGGCAGTCGCCCTCCCAGAATCCCTCCTGTTCATCTCGACTCTGGACGGGAGTCTGCATGCTGTCTCCAAACAGACAGGAAACATCAAGTGGACCTTAAGAGAAGGTTCTTACACTCAGTATTCTGTGCTGTTTGCAGACCTTTGTACTCTAAGATGTTTCTCATAAATTACTATTTTAATCTCCAGACCCCATTATTCAGGTGCCTGACTACCTCCCAGAGTAAGTAACACACACCTGCATGCACACAGGTCTGACTGTTGAGCTGAGTAAATACTTAAATATTTGTTCGCTGCAAACTTCAGTGTATTTAAAGCCCAGATTACTAAAACTGCCGTGTTGTTTGCTGTTAATGATTCAAATTAGAATATTATTATGCTTTGACTATTTCAGTTTGAGCATATTCTCATACCTGAATGTGTGTTTTTCACAGGAAACATGATCTTATCTGTCTCCAAGGCTCTGTTTATGACAGTCATTAACATGTGTCTTGGTTGATCCAATCATGACTTCACAGCTCTGAGTGTGCAGCATGTTTAGTGACTCCTCGTGATCTGATTTCACTTTCATGCTCTGTATGCAAAAAGACATTTACTGTCACACAAACTGCAAACACTACGGTCCTGCATGGACCCACAGAGTCTATACAACACATGTACTGTATAATAGTAGTTGTACTTTTTACAGTGCTTGTACATTTTAGTCATGTACATGTTCTATAAACCTCCTTGTAGCTTCAAAAATAAAATATTAACATTATTTTGAAATGTGAACTTCTGTACACTCTGCTTTACAAACACTCGACAGTAACTTAAATGTGGCAGTTTAAAAAAATACGTGAAGTAATTTTTGATCCAATTTGTTTTACTATAAAACCACCTTATATTTACATTAAAAGCCTTAGCTTTAAATGTAAGCTGTTGTAACAAACTGCTTTCAGTTTTTGTGTGTAGGAAATGCACGTTACAAGCTCTTTAGCTTCACTGTTTTCTGTGATTTATTTGTCTTTGACACGTAATTTAATTCTTCAAATCTCCTTAATAACAGAGTTCAGATTTAACAGCTCCTAACTTTAAGTAAAGATATTTTTTAAACTGAAACTAATGTATTTGAAACAAAAAGTGCATTATTTGTGCACCTAAAAGGCTAATGTTAGAACAAAAGAAGCTTCTTATGATCTTATGAGCTTTTACTTTGTATTTTTCCATAGTTCTAACTTAGTCTGATTGATGTCTGTTTGTTTTTATTTTAGGCCAAGTATTCTCCCAGACCCTAACGATGGCAGTCTGTATGTGCTGGGTGGGAAGCACAAAGAAGGCCTGATGGTAAAACTATTACACACTAGTGTTGGTTTTTATTTCGTGAGGGTTTTGGTTTTTAAATCCCAAACTCATGTTTTGTTTTGTCTGCAGAAACTGCCTTTTACCATCCCAGAGCTGGTTCAGTCAGCTCCCTGCAGAAGCTCTGACGGCATACTTTACACAGGTCAGACACAAAACKTTTGCACAAGTTAAGACGGTTGGATACGGTCAGGACCGGAGGTGGATAAATATTTGCCCTCACCTCCGTGTGACTGCAGGGAAAAAACATGACGCGTGGTTCGTGGTGGATCCTGAAACGGGCGAGAAGCAAACGAGTTTAACCACGTCCTCGTCTGAATCCATCTGCCCCAACAGTCCTCTGCTCTACATCGGACGCACAGGTTCAGCACCGGGCCGGAGAGCCGACCCCTGCAGGCACAGCGCCTGACGCTCATCAGCGTTTCTGTTTGTTTTACAGAATACATGGTCACCATGTTCGACACGAAAACACAAGCGCTGCGATGGAACGCTACGTACAACGGTTACTCTGCTCATCCTTATGATGAGAAGCAAGGCTACAGTACGCACACACACACACAAACACACAAACGCACACTTTAGTTACACAAGCAGAAGGTTAAATACAACTTTAGTTCATCCAGTGAATCAGTAACCACCTTAAAGAACTGGTTATATTAAAAACACCTCAGCTCTTCTAGTATTTATTTAAGAAAGTCATACGTAGGATGACAGATTATATCATAAAAAATGAACAATTTAAACTTTTGACTTCTGACTAAGCTATATTTCTAATGATTTTTAAATTTATTAGTTTATTTATCTTTATTTGCAATCAATTTCAATTTCAAAACATTTAAACAATTTTTCAAACATTCTCATTCAGGGAACCAAAATAAATCTCCTGCCAAACATCACCAAATATATTTTAAAAATTTCTTACTCCCCTTTTCTATTTGACTTTTGTCCAGAAATGTCCCACCTGGTGTCCAGCGGAGACGGTCTTGTTGTGACAGTTGACAGAGAGTCAGGTAGGGGGCGCTGTGAGGTTTCTGCTTTGTGAGTCAATACTTTCCTAAAACTTCCTTTCTCCCCTGCAGGACTGTGTTTCAAATGCTCTCTTCTTTCTGTCTTTTTCTTTTTGTTCTGTACAGGCGAAGTTCTTTGGACTCAGAACTACGGTTCACCCGTCGTAGGGGTTTACCTTTACTACGAGGACTCGCTGAGACACGCCCCTCACCTGTCCCTCGCCATGGAGACGCTGCGCTTCCTCACCTTCTCCTCCGCCAAAGACCAGGCAGACGCTCACTCCACCCTGAAGTGGAGCTACCAGTTTGTGAAGGAGCAAGCCAGCACGCAAACACAACTAATGTGAGAGAAAATCGCTTTTCTGTTAGCAAAGTATTTCACGAACCGCTCGGCAAATTTGAMTGAAACGTGCAGAAATGAAATGTTTGGGGAGACGTACGAAACGGATCAGCTGTTGGAGTTAAGCAGATTTAAGCTGGTTGATGCAGACAACTGAGCTTAAAAAAACACAAAGTGTTTCTAACTCAGTAGGTTTTACAGATAATGTGTTAAAGTCTGGTTGTGGTAGCAGCTGAGACTGATCTCCAACACATAATCTGAGCATGGCATCTTGTGATATGGCATGGGATTAACAACGTTCAGTTCAAGGTTTGGCTAAAACAGAAACAGCTTCAGCATTTCTCAACCTGAGMTGATCGAAGTCTGAAACTCTGGTAAGAGAGGTATGCATTCATTCAACGTTTATTACTGCATTTTCCTTGTGCTCCTTGTTTTATTGATTGATTGACTGATTGCTAAACTTCAGAGGAAATTGAATCAGTCTCTCCCATCAAGTGATAGGATTTAGATGCTCATCAATATACAAACAAATCAGTATTTGATTAAAACAACCGAAGATGATAAGAAAATAACCCAGATTTTGTTTCCTCCAGACCCACCCTCTACGTTGGAAAGTTAGACTCCCACCTCTACGCTTCGACTTCACTGGTGCACCGTGGCGTCTCATTAGTGGTGAGCGCAGGATTTAGTTTTGTTTTCGTCATTTAAACACGCCATCCTCAGACGTTGGCATCACTACCCCCTCCTCTTTAAACCAGGGTTCCTGCAGATCCTAAAAAAGTCTTAAAACTCGTTGAATTCATCAGTCCAAAAATAAGGCCTTAATTAGCTTTTAAAATGTCTTAAATCAATCTTTCAGAAGTCTTAAAAATGTTAACACATTGTAAGTAGGATGATTGTAATTCATCTCAAATATTAAAAGAATTGGTAACATTTTTTTAATATTTACATGCAGACATTCCCCTTTGACATCACTTCCTGTTATTTCACATGCAAATATCTCAACAACCGTCCATATGAGCAATGTGAAATTCGTTTTGTAATATGTTAATAATGTTGTCATTTCAAAAATGCATTAACTGTTCTTACAAACTTTGATGTCACAGGCACTTTAAGGTTTCATCTACAGCATATTAGGGTTAAAACCCCACTGTGGGTCCTAAAACTACAAATYTTGGGTCATTAAACTGACTACTAAGAATGTTTTTGCTGTATTTGACAAAAAAGCGGTTAGATCTGGATAAAAACAATTGGTCTATTAACAATATTTGAATATTTCAATCAAAAAATACTTTGATTCAAGAGTTTCTGCTACAGTTTTATTTTATTGTCATTTATGTTTATTATGAAATTGGTCTTAAATTTAATTTCATTTGGCATTAAAAGTCTTAAATTTAACTTGCTTTAAACTGTAGGAACCCTGTAAACGAACACATTAGAGCAGGCATTGGAGGGTAACGACTGATGTTCCGTTTGTGCTTTTTTTTTTTGTTGTCGTTGCAGCCCCGAGGACTGACTCTGGCACGGATTGAGGGTCCGCTGACAGAAGGAGTGACGGTCAGTCAGAGAGGGGAGTGTGAGATCACACCGTCCACTGACGTGCAGTATCCACCGGGGAGCAGCCTGAGAAACCAGTGGCTGCTAATCGGTAAGCTGTCGCAGAGACCCAGTAAGATGCAGTAAAACTTCAGAGCTCAAGTGGGATTCAGTGATAAAGATTGTAAAGAGTCAGCATCTTACTCGTAGTAGATTTCAAATAACTTGGAATTTTTGTCTAAAATGACCACCTCGATGATTATCCCTGCCTTGTCAACGACAGACAGTTGCACGTGTAAATAATCTTGTTTTGTGCTGAAGGCCACCACGAGCTTCCTCCTGTGGCCCACACCACCATGCTGAGGGACTTCCCAGCCACCTTGCAGAACTCCGGTGAAGCAGTCATCCCCCCTCGCTCCTCTGCCTCTCCGGTTTCTCCCAGACCCTCTGACCATCAGCGTTACGTGAGTCAACAGTATTTTAAAAACACCAGCATGCTCTTTGGCAGTTGTTCTGTAAAGCTCATGAAAATCAAACAACATATCGTGTATTGATAGTTTTCTTTAAATAAATTAATTAATTTTGTTAGTTTCAGACAGCTTCTGCAAGTCATCGTGATGCTAACGCTAACAAAGGCGGTTCTGACAACAAAGCAGCCACCGTGCGTCTTGTATACATGACTCAGGACTGGCTGACGCCCGTTGTTCTGACCGTCCTGGTGGGAGGATGGCTCACCTTAATACTCACGTTTCCCCTTGTGAGTTTATCACAGTTGTTTGCATTTAAAAGCCAAACATTTTATGACTCACAATGCTTTTGGAAAGTAAAGCATTCAGCTCCAAGATGCATTTATGAAACTCTTGGTTCCCTTTAACTTTTCCCTCTCCTAAAGATTTCTAACGTCTGCCTTAAAAAGTCTCGTACCCTTGTGTTCCTGCAGCGTAAAGCCCAGCAGCTGAAAGCTCAAAGGCAGCTGGAGGAGGCTTTCGAGTCTCGCCTCCATCAAATGCAGACAAACATTCAGACGATGACGTTTGGTCCTGCAGACGGCAGCTTGTCCACAGACTCAAACATCTCAACCGGTTTGTCCATTCAGGGTTTTACTGCGATACAAGATCCTTTCTTTGTACTCATTATAGTTAAAAATAAGTGTTATAATCTCTGCTTGCTATTTTTATTGGATTARCATAAGACATAAAAAGTGTATATTCAATTTAATTCTTGTCTTTCTGGATTTAGACTCTCTGCCTGCATCAAATGATGCTTCACCTAATAATCAGAGTCCCAACAGAAGCCTCTCAGATGCAGAAAAAAATAATTCAGATGGAGGTAAGACATCAACATGTCTGTGTTTGTTTAACACACAAATAACAAATTCTGAGTAGAAGTTTTAATATCTGTATCTCTGGATTAGTGAAAAACGTCTCTAAACACCTAAACGAGCCAAAGACCCACTGATTTTATGAACTTTCTCCACATTTTTGCCAAAGAAAACAGCAATGAAGTTCTGGTGGGAAAAATCTCCTTCGATCCCTCTGAGGTGCTTGGACACGGCACGGCTGGAACTTTTGTGTTCAGGTACATTGATCCTTTCAAACATCCTTTGCACTCAGACCATTAAAAATAAGCTTCATTGTTTTCGGCTTTATGTTTGTGCTGTTGTTGTTTTTTTCCTGGACTTCAGGGGGAAATTCGATGGGCGCCKTATAGCCGTCAAGCGAATCTTGCCAGAGTGTTTCGAGGTAGCAGAGAGGGAGGTGCAGCTTCTCCGGGAGTCCGACACGCACCCCAACGTCATCCGATACTTCTGCACGGAGAGGGACCGCCTCTTCACCTACATCGCCATCGAGCTGTGCGCGGCCACGCTGCAGCAGGTCAGCCGTTCGCACAGGGTTCAGCTCTGAACCCATTAACGACGTGTCACTAATGTATCTGTCGTTTGGTTTCCCTCTCTGCAGTACGTGGAGGATCCATCTTGTTCTCCTGGGCTGAATCCTATAACTCTGCTGGAACAAACCATGCGTGGCCTTTCCCACCTGCACTCGCTCAACATAGGTCTGACATAAATGCTGTTTTCACACACCAGACTAAAGACTTTGTCAGGAATACAAAGCATTTTAAATCCACACTTAAGGAGCAATGATCTTTTTTTTTTTTATATATATAGTCCATCGTGACTTGAAGCCTAGAAATATACTCCTTTCTGGTCCAAATGCACTGGGTCAAGTCCGAGCTCTCATCTCAGACTTTGGTCTTTGTAAGAAGATCCCAGACGGGCAGAAGAGCTTTTCTCTGCGCTCTGGAATACCAGGAACTGAAGGGTGGATAGCTCCCGAAGTGCTGAGAAACACACCTGGAAGCAAACCGGTAAGCTGCAGAAATCAACTAAACTTGCTGAAGTCTTGCGTAAAATGGCTCTGAATGCATCTGGTTTCTGTTCGTTGTCTTGGTTTGGTGCTGTAAAAAGGGCTGAAATGTTTAGATCCTCTTGTTTTCTCCTGCCCTCTCTCTAGACGACGGCCGTGGACGTGTTCTCGGCAGGCTGTGTGTTTTACTATGTGGTCAGCAGGGGGCAGCACCCGTTTGGAGACACGCTGAGACGACAGGTCAACATCCTGTCAGGAGACTACTCACTTCTACATTTTATGGAGGGTATACACGGTGAGGAGTTATATCTCTTAAATCTGGTATAAAACAAAGATTCTTGTCCTCGGGTCCCTGATAGAAACAAACACATTTAGATTTATTTAAACATTTCTGGGTTTTTTTCATCCACTCTGTCTTATTTTACTAAAATACAGTACACAGGAAAAAAGTAAAGTAAAAAATAAAGTACACGGGACTTTATGGTTGAACTTCCTGGGTCCTGTTGCTGCAAATGAAGCCCAAATTATCAGCCCTCCACCTCTGTGCTTCACAGTTGGTATACATGTGGTCAAAAATCTTCATGTTGGTCTTTGATCGGTTCAAAGTAGCTATTTATTTATTTATTTATTTATTTATTTATTTATTTATTTATTTATTTATTTATTTATTTATTTTATAGTATTTATTCATTTCATTTTAAAAAACAAAACATTACATAAAAAAACAAATAAAATAAAATGAAAGGCAGCAGAAGAAGAAAAAGATCTTACGATATTAAGGTACATATCTTGTTGCTGAAGCTTTGTGGTTGGATCAAAAGCAGCTGATCCACCTGGCAGCTCTTCAAAACAACTTGTTCAGTTTTATTTGAAGTTGAAATTTGAAAAATCACCTTCCGAATCTAGAGGGAATAGTTTCGACAGAACAATATGTCTGATTCATCCAGGTCCCACAAAGTCTGCATTAAAATGATGCATTAATCTAATACTGTTGTTGCGACAGCTCGGATCAGATTACATTGCACCATAATTTGATCCACAGCCAGCCTGTAACTGGTGTGTGTGTCTTCTGGCAGATGATGTCATAGCAAAGGATCTGATTGAACAAATGATCAGCGCTGATGCAGAGTCACGACCCTCCACCGCCTGCGTGCTCAAACACCCTTTCTTCTGGAGCCCCGAGAAGCAGCTGCTCTTTTTCCAGGTTTTAGTCTATTTTTTGGGGTTATTTGAAAAAAAAAGTAAGATTTTTTTGTTTATAGGTCATTTCAGTTATGTTAAAGGGATCCATGATTAGTTGTAACATCAGACTTTATTTAATAAGCTTATTTTTTAACTGTAAAATAAAGACTGTAAAAATACTGTAGGATGTTCAGTTTTTTATAATTTTTAAACTAAAATTTTAAAAATATATTACACAGACAGGGCCATTTTATTTACACGCAAAGCATTCTGGGTAAATGATGACGTGGATAGGTCCTCGGTGCGAGGCTAGTGAACTATATCCACCCTGAAGGTTAATCTTGGACAATATCTGACGATTGTCTCTTTTAAATGAAACCAGAGAGGAGAAGGTAGAAATGACTCAGCCTGTAACTGAAAATATAGATGGAGGACCTCAGTTTAGCTTGTTAGTTTGTCGCGCTAGCACCAAGCTAATATGTATAAGGCAATATAGTGTTGGCGCTAGCGCAAAGGCTAACAGGCTTTATCAAATAAAGGCTAATGTTACAACTAATCANATGTTTATCAAATAAAGGCTAATGTTACAACTAATCATGGATCCCTTTTTTTAAATGGATCTGATGTTATTTGGTTTGGTCATACGGTAGATGCTTCTTTGACAAAAATAAAGCAGTATCTTTGTGCAGCATCTGCTCCAATTGTTTCCATTGTGTTAAAGAGTCTGGATAGTTGCACATCTATTCCCATCTAATTGAACATGGTTCAGTAATACATAAGGAGAACAAACAAAGGGACAATGAAAAAAAAAAAACCATAGCACTTCATGCGCAGCCTGGAGTTCTTATAATAACTGGGATTTAAACTCCTTAAATTCATGCCGATTTAAATGTTGGAAAAATGAACTTGTGTGTGTTTCTAGACTGGAGAACAGCTAGCTCAGACTAGTCGTTAGCTCATCAGCCCAGTCAGAATTAACCTCTGGTACTAAATTTGAAGAATTATTCCCWAAGATTTCATAGTGATTCATGTGACCAGTCTTATTTTTAAACTTTKAAGCCGCTTTTTATTTTGCAGTTATTCTGGGGAAAAAATATAATGAAACTGCTGACAGAAGCGCTACAGCTAGCTGCTGCTGCTAATTGCACATTTTAAAAAAGCATTGGCACAAAATGTTATAAAATGGTTGAGAYTGAAGTCACTTTAAAACAGTAGCAATCCACTTTGATCTTGACTAGMCATTAGCTTGTCAGTCCAGTTAAAATCAAAGTTTGTTCCTCCAAGATATTAGTTGTTAACGTTTTCACAGAAATGTCTTCAGAAAGTCTGAACTACTTCTTTAAATCRTTTCCCTGCACATTTTGTTTGGACAGGATGTTAGCGATCGCATCGAGAAGGAGCGACCGGACAGTCCGATCGTAGTGCGACTGGAGGCCGCAGGAAGGACGGTGGTCCGAACCAACTGGAGGATGCATATATCTGCACCTTTACAGACAGGTATACACAAGTACACGCGTGTACACTCAGGTGCAGAAAAACTGACCAGTAAACGTTTTTCTGGGTGCAGACCTGAGGCGGTTCAGGACGTATAAAGGGAACTCGGTCAGAGATCTGCTTCGAGCCATGAGGAACAAGGTCAGCCTGCATGACCTTTTCTGCTTCATTCTACACGTTTAAATACGTAAATAAACTTTATTTTCCATTTCTTACAGAAGCATCACTACCACGAGCTGCCGCCGGACGTGCAGGAGGCTCTCGGCGAACTTCCCGAAGGCTTCATCGGCTACTTCACCTCTCGGTTTCCACGATTACTGATGCACACACACACCGCTCTGCAAATCTGCGCGCACGAGAGGCCGTTTCACCCCTACTATCTGCCACCCAAAGCCAAATAACTTTCACATGACTAGGCATTTCACAGGGGGGCGAGTCCAGGACAGTACCTCATTATTGCTTTTGTAAAGTTCATACTGTTTTAGGAGAAATCAGTGCTGTGAAAGTTTTTATATGTCTTCRGATGTTTTATGGAAAACTTTTTTATTGTTTTATTTAACTCTCCCTCACAAGGCTGTAACAACCTTTTGATAAAAAAAAACACTCCTCTTTTTTATATTGGCTCGTGGGAAGAAAMGCTAAAGTAAACAAAAATAAGTTGCATAAATAATGAAATTAAAAAGTAAACAGAACTTTTAGCCACTTTAGCAGACTGAAACATGTAATGTTACAGCAGTTTGTTTTTATTTATGGTTATAATGAAAGAACGTGCACTGAGATGGGCTTCAGTTGACTGTCAGCTTCAAATCTGAAGCTCAGATTGTCAAAACAGAAGTTTTTTTAAAAATAATGCTGTGACTCAAAGAACCAAACGTTTTGGTCACAGAAATGTGGTCACAGCACTGCGAGTAGTTCAGACCCCCAAAACTAATTATCAAAATAAAAAAGCAAAAACAGTTTTTAGTTTTAAAGTGTTTACTGGCTGCACGTAAGAAAAATAAGTTCATTTCAGGTTTCTGCTGCTGCTCAACTTACCTGTACAACAGATTTTACTATATTTATCAGCTGGTGTGTGTGTGTGTGTGTGTGTGTGTGTGTGTGTGTGTGGGGTAGCTACACTGACTACACAATGTTCATTAAAAGTGTCGTCTGTTCCATCACAAATTTAAGGACATTTTCTGCGCTTTGCTCCTGAACGTTCAGATGTTTGACCCGTCAGTGGTCGACGGGCCGAGCTGCGACTCAGGCGGACGGTTCTGGGCAGTTTTTGCATTTATTGGATCAGCACTCCTCAGCCTTGGCACCAGCACAAGAAGTACTGCCATAATTCTGGTCCAGAAATGCAAAACGTTTCCTGTTCCTGCTGAACTCTGGTGTGTTTGTAGTTCTTTACATGAGTGAATGATGATATTTGAACTTTTGTACTGTTTTTTTTTTTTTTTTTTTTTGAATGACTGAATGAATAAAATTGATGCTCTGGGTGTACCAAAGAATGAACAAGTCTCCTCTTATTTTATGTATACACCTTAAATATGAAGTGTTATTTAGACCAGAAGTTCTCAAACTGCAGTCCTAGGACCCCCAGTAAAATTTAATAAATTGTTAATTTGGTTTTTATTTAAAAAATGCATATGGGGAACAACGCATTAGTAAATCAAACATACAGTATTAAACCAAACAAAACTTGACATTTGTGTTAAAATTATTAATAAACTATTTTGAAAATAGCGTGGGGTTTATGAGGGGGTCCCTGGAAACGTTTCACCCTTGTGAGGGGTTGCCGCCAGACCTAAAATGTTTGAGAACCCCTGATTTAGACTATTAGAGAAATTAAAAGTGGTTTTACTTCAGGTCCACCTGCAGATGGAGACATCCTCCCAGCACAGAAATCCCATTTCCTCTTTGAAGTGGAGAACAAAAACTGCAAAATAATTTGTGTACAAGCTTGTTTGATTAAAATATAAAATCTGGATGCACATATATGCTTGTATTTTCCAAAATAATGTAGCTGGTAACCCCCCCCCCCCCCACACACACACACACACACATGCACAAATACACCCTGTGCTCATGAAAAAACATCCCGTGGAGCTGATAAAATGTCAGACATGAGTTTATTTCACTGTCAGTGTGAGTTTGAACAGAACAGGTTTAATAATGTGTCAGACCAGGGTTCTGCAATGTGTCATGGTCAAATCATCACTTAATGAGCCACTAGTTGTTTATAGTTCATGGTGTGACTCGATCGTTTGATCAGACCGTGTGTGTGTGTGTGTGTGTGTGTGTGTGTGTGTG